TATATATATATATATATATATATATATATATATATATATATATATATATATAAAACCCAGAAATTCTGTCTATTGTACATGATTTTACTAAGCTTATTCAGTTGAAGGGATTTCAGGTCAATAATTTAGCTTCTCTACACTCCAGGACTTCCTACCACTTAGAAAATAGATTTTGCATGTCAAATGGCTCCACACAATGCTGGAGACCAACTGTGGAGAAGGATTATCCCAGAGAAGTAAAAAGGAAACTAGAATTCAGCTTATGAGCTAAACAAGAGAACATGTTATGTCTCTCTTGTTCACTCTCTGGTTTCTCAGTGTTCTCAACAAATATCTGTTGGCAAGTAAGTAAATGCATCAATGAAGTGTTGGTAAGGGAAAATTACTAGCAATGGACTTTTTTTTTTTTTTTCAATTTTACTAAGGTTCTGTTTCATTACATAATCCACTCAGCTATTAGTTATCTAAGCCATTGTGATCTCCCGACCTAATTCCAAACCCTGTGTTTTCAAAAAGAACAATCAGTTAAAATAATGGTACATTTTCTTTAGTAGATTAGATGAATTTGCAGAGGTGGTGTTAAATATTTCTCAGTATATATTTGTTTGACTATGCAGACCTGGCTTAATAATTTAACCCCAAAGACTTCATCTACGTAATAAAGTTAAATAGGATGCATCTTTAAAAATGGTAAAAGATGCAATGGCTAGTTGTTCTATGAATACAACCACAGTTTATGAAGTATTGGTGAAATCACATTATTTGTAAAGTTGGGAGAAACATTAACAAGGGAGAGAGTTCACCTGTGAACTCTTCAATGAAGTACACTTCTATTGAGTTATTTTACGGTCAGGCATATGCTAGGTGCTGCTCGTAAGGACATACTGGGTGTTTGACTGCATTCAAGATAGATTTCCATGAAAGATGAAGTGTCTTTTTAGAATATTGAGGTTCTGCTCATGTTATTCTGTGATTTACTCATCTTTAGCAAAAGTTCATATTTTCATAAAAATTGTTTCTTGAAAATTATCAGTATTTTCTTCTGTTCTAAGTTATACTTTGGGGACAGTCGAGAAGAGCATTGTCACTAATTGTGCTAATAATAACAGGACCCAGGCGGCTGGCTTTGATCTTGGGGACCATCTGCAATGCAGACCACTTTGATGTTTCACACAATGGAAGCATAAATATTTTCTATGTATTCATGATTGGGCTTTCAGAAATCTAATTAAGATGAAGGTCAATTAAGAGAAAATGAAATCTAAACTCCAAAAGTCAGAGAAGAGGTGGAAGATGATGACATGGCAGTGTGTACATAAAAGAAGCTAACTAACCTAATTATAAACTTATACAAACACCCAGAAAAAAAGTGCCTTTCATGTTAAAAAAAAGGTCCTAGAGCATTTTCTAACATTGAGATCATTAATGTGTCTTTGAAACACACCCAGTACTGGAAGAGAATAATAATAATGGCATTTCAAAAAATCACAGACAGCTATGGGATGAAAGCATTTCCGAACTCATCAAACACAGCCCCTTGCTTCCTTAGTGGAAATGAGAGTCATAAATATCTAGGACAGAGTCATTGAAATCTTCCAGGTATGGTGTGAATTGCTTCTCTTCTTGAAAGTCTAGGCTTGGATTCCTCCAGGTAGGGTGTGAAGGGGTCAGCTGTCTGTTTCAGATGGCTGCAAGACTGGAGCAAGGCCAGAGGAAATACAAGACCAGCACAGAATGGTCACCTTAGGACAATTTCCAGCACAGAATGGTCACCTTAGGACAATTTCCTCATCATTCTTAGCCAAATTTCTAAGTTGCATTAAATCTGTTTATCTCATTAATTTACTGTATTACACGACACATATCCATCCTTTAATCCAGTGGTGCCCTCCTTTTTCTTTCTTTTTTTGGGTGTTAGCCTCAATAGGCCCAAATCTGTATCCTTTATTCTTATACTTGTTTTTGTATTATTTTAGAAAGATAATCTTCTTCTTTAGATTCTAGCTTCTCAGGTTCTGAAGTGGAGTCAAACAGATGTACCTAGCCAAGGAATTTACATATAAACACTGCAACACAGGCAACTGCATGGAGGACATGGAAGGAATCCTTCCCCTTCTACACATACACTCAAATGTGTGTTGTTGTTTGTGCATGTTCCCTTATGCTTATGTGTGCATGTCTATGCAGGTGTACCATGTGTTCATAGGTGTGCACATATGTATAAAGCAGGTGCATTTGCCTGTGCACATGTACATGCATATGTACGTGTATGTGTGCATGCACAGTCTTTGTGTTTATGTGTGTAGAGTGTATATTTAAATGCATAGTAAAGAACTTTCAGTAAATACCTTTGTCTATCTCACTAACCACTACTGTATATTGTCGGAAATTGCATTTGAATAATGTGTAATGTCACTCCTAACTGAACCATGTAAACGAATTCTCTTTTTTCCTCTGCTGGGTGACACATATCATGTGGATCCATTCCCCCCCCCCCCATCTTTTGAACTACATCTAAGGATCCTTTCATCTGAGAAGTTCAAAGTATGCCCACTTACCTATGCATCCTAGTGAAATCTTCCTCTCTAATGTCCATATTTCAGAACAACTAGATAACCAAAATTAACTTACCCGTATCCCTGTTAGCTATATCCCTGTTGATATCAGACTATAGTGACTTGGATTTAACCTCAAGGCCAATTAGTTAAATAGCAAAAGATAAAATAATTTCTTGGGTCATTTCTTTCTTTTTTTCTTTTTTTTTTAAATGCACCTCAATGGCACTTCCAGTTAAATCAATGTGAATCATTGTATTTTTTCCAAAGTGCTATGACCTTGGTTTCTACAAAGACCAGAATAGTGATTGCCAGAAATGCTAGTATTATCTGATCATGTTTTCTTAATTTTGTAGCCTGGGTAAAGGATAGAGTGCACTGTTAAACGTATTACAGTTTATATTTAGAGATGGTAGAGTTGATTTATCAAATTCAAAGGCCAAGTCCTGCCCTTGAATCTGTCCAATGTATTAATGTGCATCCCTGACCATAAGAGCATCTGCTTGAAATGCAATGTTCTTTTGTTAATGGGAACTTTAGAGCTTGCTGGAGGTAGAGGTGGGCTTCGGGCACATAGCAGCTGCTGAGTCCTGCCATACTCACAGTTCACAGTGACCTTGACTTGTTTGACATCTGCCGAGGAGACTTCATTGGCAGCTTTGCACTCATATTTGCCAGACTGCTCCCTGGTGATGCCCAGGATCTCCAGATATTCTTCTTCTCCTTCAAATTCTCTTCCTGAAAAACAGAGATGTACAAGATTATTTTAGAAAATGAATACAGCAATGCTTTTTTTTTTCATTTTAGAAGCAATAAATCCATGTGGCTTTTTAATAATTTGACAATGTGCTTTGTCTGAGGTCAGATTCCACAAAAGACCCCAAGAAAAAAAGTCATGTGAGAGTGATTAAGAAGGACATATTCTCAGGAAAAACTGATAAGGGAGTGAAAAAATGAGGCCTGGAGAGAAGGAAGCCAAAGAAGGATGCCATATCACAACCCAGGGAAAGCAGATGAGCTTGACCTATCAGGAACTTTGGGAACAGCTCATGTCCTACATCACAGTTTTCCTGACCAAGAGGCAAAAATATGAAGTATTTGGTGAAGGGATTTAAAACAAAGTTGAAGTTGGGGGGAGGTGCAAAGGAATTGTGAAAAGTGAGGAGGGATGAAGTGTTAATGCCATCCTTCAAAGTACTCTTCTAATCAAAGTTATTATTAGAAGAAGAAGAGATGATTTCTTTTTGAGGATCTGTCACTCTCCTCTTCACATTATGTGGAATTACACTCACAAGTATGTTCAAACCTGTTTTACAAACATGGCTTCCTTGTTTAGTGTCAAATTACATCATCATTGAGCTTTCATGCTGTGGACCAGATCCATGCACATGTGCTGCTGATGGAATATTTTGTGACAGATCATGTCATGTGTTGTGGCAGTAAAAAAGTAGGAAGCTAAATACTACTGGCTTAACCAGCTGAGATTATAGGCCAAGGGTCCTTTTTGGGAAGTTCTACAAAGTTAGGTGTGTCCATTTAATGAAGATATTTCAAGATTAAGAGACAGAGAGAAGTCAAAAGAAAGAGAGAGACAGAGGGCAAAAGAGAGCTGGAAGAGTGCTGAAGGACACAAGCTTGCCACCATGAAGAAATCTTGCTTCTGGTCATCATACACGAAATGATACCAATTAATAGCTCTGCTCAAATGCCACAAGCTGTTTTCTTTTTATGGAAATTCCCTGATGGCCAAATCAACCTAATGCCAGCCAGCACAAAGACAAATTCACTGTCTAAATATTTCAGCTAAGCCTGTTAACCAGGCTCCCAATAGAACATTGGGCCTCTTTGATAACTTTCCACAGTACAACTGTTAGGAGTGCTCTAAGCTTCATGTCTTCTGTCAGCTGTCAATAGCATTAGTTTAGAGGACCCTCCACAGTTCCAACAACAAATAGGAAATAGTTACATGAAGTTATTTAGTCTTAAGTTCCGCACATAACTTAGCATCTGTGTTTACTGAAACTGTTTTGGAATCAGTCTATACATATACAGCTGCATATTATTTATAAAATGCTATTATTTTTCTGTCTGTTTTCGCCTCCTTTCTTCTCCCCATACAAGTTAAGTAGTCAGACCTGATTTAACATTATCACAGAAGTGGATTGTGGTGGAAAAATAAACAGAAATCTCAGAAAGGATAATTGTCCACTTCATTGAATTAACTGGACAGGATTTGAGTTTGAAGAGGGAAAAACATCTTTCCTGTGTGCTTGTATTTATGGAGAAGAGTTATGCCAACTAATTGATGCTGAGACTCTCCTAGCTAATTATAAACAATCTAAAGACTAATGGCAACTCTGACAATTTCAGGGCAAAATAAGTGTAAGCTCATTAAAAACCTGGAGTGCAGAAGTAAAACTGACAGTAAGCAGGTTTATTGATTTTGAGAGTAATAGTGGATTGTAATGAGAAGAATTAAAGATGATTTCAGGATTTAAGTTTTAGAATTTCTGCCCTACCCTTGTTCATAGCTGATAAACCTTACTCCCAGGTGGATACAGACTTAAGAGAAGAAAGAGAATAGGTATAGTGTTCTTATAGTTGGCTAACAATGTGAATCTTTTCAATTCCAATCTTTATAATATCTAGAAATGGTAGGTTATAGAGCTCTATATTGTATTTTAAATTTCTAAATGATCTAAACCAGCTTCTCGAGAGATGACTTTTAGCAGCACTAAGGTTCGAGCAGTCTGAAAGATGGTATCTAGTTGAGTAAATACTAAGATTAACTAGACACAATAATGTCATATTATTGGGCTTTGGACATAGGGTTTTTCCATGCCAGGGAAGGTATTAATAATCTCATTTTTCACTGATCAGCAAATAATAACATAGATTCTCATGGGATGAATTTTTAATCTCAACATCTCTGAGGAAGAATTTCTCCAGGTACTATGACAAGATAATGGGGCTTTTTTCTTAGTGCCCTCACATCTAGGCAGAAAGATCTTTCTTGCTTCTCCATGAGCATTCCCATGGCTGCCTCTGTCTCCAGCACACAGTGTACACAGCTGCTTCTCTAGAGTGGTAGAGTGTCCAGCTGCACATGGAAAACAGGTAAGAGAAGCTAGCTGGCCCTCCTCCAACCAGCCTGACAATATTAACAATATTAAGCAATGCCTCTGTGCTTCCTCTTGTCATCATTCTTATCTCTTACACTTCCTAGCATTTCTTACTAATCTATTTTACTTATACCCACAGGACACTTTGTTCACAGTGCATTATCCCTCATACTTGAGGATGTCTCAGGAACTCACAGTGATTTGAGAGCAAATGGAAACTTCCCTGATGCTAGAAAGTCAAAGAACCAGATTGAAAATTCCACAAGGACCTTGTCTTAAATAGCAATATCCCCATGAGACCATACAAGATATGACATGGATTAGTTATTCTGTGACTCTTTGTTTCGTCCACAGAACTGAATCCAGAAATACCAGCAGAAACAGAGCACACCCAACACATCAAGTCGTGTAAGAAAAGAGCGTAAGAGAGCAGGTGTGCTGGTTCAGTTCCTTTTACTGACCCCACCAGTGCCCCTTCACTGGGTAGCAAGGGTGCGCTGAGTCCTCTTCTGGGGAAGGGCTGGACAGGGGCAGGAGGGACAGGGTCCTTGCTGGTCAAGTACTGAGTATGTGTCCACTGCGTGGAGTTACTGTTTCAGAAAATGCTGTGGAGACACGAACAGGAGCCCCGTGGAATTAGACACAATGCTGCTCCTTTCATCTGAGCAACTGCAGTTTCTTGTTTTAAGGCACAGAACTCAGCACATTAATCTCTAGTCTCACAATTCTAAGATGCCGTCAGATTCCCTAGCTCTCCTCTTTGTCCCAAGGTACCTGGCCCATCAGGTACCTGTCTTCATTCTTTCAACTCCCTCTGACCAGCTGCTCTCAACCCAAGAGTCTTATCACCTCTGCCCTTTACTTGCTCAACCTGAAAAAGCCTCTCAGGTCTGAAGGTGACATTTAACCTGCTGTCCAAGTTCTCTGCTGTGCTACAGCCCTTTGGCTTCAATGAGGACCCTTCTCTTGCTCTTAGCTATTATTTTCTGCCCTTGTATAAATGTTTACTTGAAATGCATATTTCAATATTTTGGTATTTTGAACATCTCAACCTATTTCTACAAGCTTGCTCACATTGCTGAGTGTTATATTTATTTTGAGATCTTGTGTTCAGTTAAAGTCTCCCTTTGCTTAATATGCTTTTGTGTCTCCTGGCAATATTCAACGACCAGGCTAAATAACTTCTCGTCCTCCTCAGTATATGTACCTTTGAAACTCTTACAATAATTAGTATATCTCCTCTTAGTCACTGCTTACTCAAGTTGTACATATTAGTTATTTTAATATTTCTTCATAAGTCAGGAAGAAGGGCCTAGAGCTAATGGCAAGAGGAAGCTTTTCTCTTGGCTGCCCCCAAATACAGAGGCAAATCAGCCAGGAATGACTCCAATCAAGGAAGCCAGGTTCTGCCCTCTGAGTACAATGCCTTCGGAGAAATGTGCTTGCATGACACATGGACAGCTCACATCCAAAACACTGAGTTATTTTACTTCCAAGGTCAACCAGGCATTGTAAGCTCCCAGCCATTTGAAATTAAATTTCCATAGTACTTTACTCTCTCCCTTTCTTTTTCTCCTTCTTCCTCTGGCTGCCTCTCCCTATCCCATTCTACACACACACACACACACACACACACACACACACACACACACACACACACACACACAGACAGGCATACACACACACAGCTATTTATTTACATAAACATTTCACTCTAATTTTTAGGAAACAACATACGAAGTTACTAACACCCAAATATTTGCTCAAAGCCAAACAAGCCTATTCTTGAAAATTCCACAGGACACAATCAGTTCTTTGCAATTATAAAAAGAAAAAGATGACCCTAATAATCATCAGAGTATCGGATTCCATTCTTTATTGGAGACAGGGAAATGAAATTTACATTAGGCAATGGAGGAATTCTTTCCCCTCTATTCTGAGAAGTCTTCTCAGTACTGTATGACACCTCCAGGGAGCATTTTTTTTTTTTTTCACAGAAGGGAAGATGTGTTAAAAATGGAATTGGCATTCCTTTACTCACCTGATTTTGAATGTTTAAATGACTGTTACACATTAATTATAAAAACAAACACATTGACAGGTTAGTACAAAGCAAAGAAGTAGACTAGAGCCTGTCTTTCAGGTATACATGTGGGCCTGTACACATGTGTTTGTGTGGGTCTGTGGCATGAAGAGATAGAGTGAAAGCAAGCTATGAATTGCTACCTATACAGATGAAAACAAAAAAGGGATCATAAATCAGTGATGCCATTTGAAGTTTTCTGTGGTAACTTCAAATGCCATAACAAGTTTCTGTTCTTACAATACATTTCATATTTTCTTTTTTTTTCCTAAGGACATACTCACTTGTTTCTGTTTTTGATTCTTTTCCTACTTTTATTTTTTGCATATCACATCCTACACAAACATGCTAAGAAAGGAAGAGCGAAACATAAGAAATTTAGAAAAAAAAAATGCTTCTGATGGGATTCTGTTTATATTTCCAGCCATGTCACTCTACAGGTCCTTTGAAGTTTTTGTTTTTTAGCTTCATGGCCCACCTGAGAGAGACTTTAGTGTTTGATGATGTTTCTATCCAAAGGTTGAAACCATTTC